TATTACCTTTGGAAATTTTATTGTCAACTCCAATACTGAAATCAAGATTACAGGAGCTCTCAAATCGGTCATAGTATGCTCATTCAAGACTTTGGAGTATTATTTCGTTCAATTGAATTGTTAAATTGTTGTAACATCATTTTGTTGGTATTATATAATAGCAAATAGCACATCAAGGGTACATTAATAATTTGTTCTTCTTTAGTTGTTCATTTATACTTCTTTTATCTTAATTGATTATCTAATTCAGACCTCATTTCGACTAATGAAGTTCTTGAGAACAAGTATACTGTAGTTGGAAGGTCTAAATTGTTCATCGACAGAAAAATAAAATAAAAGATGCTCAAATACCCAAAAGAACGGAAGTCAACCTTGAGAAGGTAATTATATTAGTGACCAATTGATAGCGTTATTACTAGAAGATAGATAGATAGAGTATTAATCAAACACTACTACTACTTCTGCTATAATTCATGCAAGGGCACATATTTTCTATATTCTATTTTATGCTACGTTCTGGTCATTTCAATTCTTTAGTGTTTGGATTATTAATATCTTAATTTATTTTGCAAAAAGCCTAATTTTTGTAGATGTTTAAATAAGTTTTGAGCTCTAAATTTGATAAGATCTTTAAGATCGGGCGAAGCGCGAATAAATTAACTAGTTAGTGTATATAATTTAAACTCGTGGTAAAATATTGTCTATGGCCAAACGGGCTTCCGAAAATGGATGTGAGAAAGTGAAGTGAACAAGCTAACATACCCTTTGAACATAGGATGATGGCATCAAATATGGAAGAACAGTAAGATATTCAATCATCTGCTTCCTAATTGAAAAATAGTCATCGTTTGCGAAGTTATTGAAAAATAGCCACTATTTTGCTAAAATACGGAAAGTTCCAGCATAATATACTGGATTGTGGAGCTTCTGCGTATAAATTTCTAGCATATTATGTTGGAACTTCAGCACACGGAAAGTTCCTCATGCGTATAAACGTCCGGAAAATACTTACCCACACCGGGTATTTACACCAAACTATATTAACTCATCATGGTTAGTTAATTTAATTAGATGAGAATGTATATAACTTACCATGGTTAAATAATTGAAGTCCATATACAAAACAAATGCCATGTATTTATTGGTTTGGTGTACACACCCGGTGCGGGTAAGTTTTTACCCGTCCGACATATTATGTTGGAACTTCAACACATTATGAACTTCTAGCACATTATGCTGGAATCTCATATCTAAAAAAAATTCGAACTCCGGCATATTCTGCTGGAATTTTTCCTAATTTTTAAGTGTGTTTTTGTTCAGATTTTATCTTTACATGAAAAAGTGACTAAATTTCGATTACTTTTGAAACTGTAAAAATTTTTAATTACCAATTATAAATCTGGTTATTTCTAATTTCTCCTTTTTTTTAGTCAAAATACTACTGAAAGATAATTTTTTATTAATTCATCAAAGTTTTGTCATAGAGTAGAAAGGAAATTAGCAAGTCCATTAGCAGTAGCAAAGACTATAATTGCAATATACTTTGCTCTGATATTGTTATGAGTTATGACTTTGCTTGTGTATTTCTTGGATCTATTCCTGAAGAAAACATTAACGAAATTGTAAATCCCACGTATTATAGAACTCGCCATTTTTTCATAAAAATTATAGACTTTTAGGGGGTAAAGATTAGCAATTATATTAATTTTCATAAATTTACTCCAATCTATTTGCGTGGGAACTTTTTCTTAAGTTAGAAAGTTTCCACTGATATCTCGCGTTTGGCTAGTTAGTAAAAGATAATTGAAGGGAGGTAACATGAATCTGGTTCCCAGGGAAGGTGTCTGATTTGTAGGGGGAACATGCTCGGAATCTGGGGGCGAATATCAATTTTGAGTTTGTCATCGTCAAAAAAGGGGATTGATAAGTTATGCATAATGATTTTGATGATTTGTCAAACTTTATTGAGGAACCAGATAGAAACTTGATACAATCGGTTCCTTTGCGCCTGCTGTGATATGCTTCCTTGTCTGGCCAAATGTCCTCGAGCAACCAGATAGGGAAATAGATAAGGGAACAGATAGGTCTAGTTCCCCAACTGTCGTACAATCAACTCTACGGTTATAAAAGTTGTTTCACTGTACCAATTGGCAGCAGTGCAAAGGCCAAACCAAAAGGTGTAATGTCCCTATCTCTTCACACATTCTCATTTATAAACAACATATACAAAGGTTGGCCTAACACTAGATAATCTAAAAAACCTATCATCTCAAGTGCCAACCACCGCTATTTCCTCCTCCAGGTGCCCTCAAGAATAAAGATGCTACAAACCAAGGACCAGATTCCAACACTGAAGATGTCTTAAGTCCTCAAATTTGTTGTGTCTTTGTCTTTTGTTCTTTACTTGTATTTCTACACGGCTTTCTAGAAGTATTTTGTAGGACATCATTTAACCATTATTGTTTTGGTTGTTTGCCTAGAGTTAGTCAAGAGTGTTGCTTTGTAATAGAGTTATTACAAGGGCTTGCAATAGAGTTATTGTAAATCACTGTCAAATTACTTACCAGATCCTTTTCAATGAGATATCTCAGAGTGGATATAGCTAAATTCTGTAGTGTTGGCTATTGTCAATGAAATTCAGATGCTTCAGTACTTGCAAGATTATGCAAGAAAAGAGTCACTCCGTCCCCTAACCACCACCCTCTATTTCATGGGAGGATAGTAACATCTTGTGGTGCAAAAAGAGTTGGTCATTCAGACATTCCTTTAAATTAACAAGAAAAATAAAATAAAATCCAAACACTTAAAGATATTCAACATGAATATTACAAAGCTAGAAGAAGCAGGCATAAGTTAAGTGGTGTGCATGCTTTGAAAGCATCTTATCAGATTAGTATTTTCCATCTCCTGAATTGCTATTTCAAATTCAAATAATTCATTACAGAGTTGACCGACCACATGACTTCAATTTTTAAAAAAGGAAACTTCAATTTATTCACGATGCTGATAGTACACACAAACAAATACTTTTTGAAGTATGGAAGGTAGTTGAACATTTTTTGCTCCTCCATGGCATATCCAAGTAGTAGCACACTTCACTATGATCCAGTTGTGCCATATGCCCTCTTCTAATGTCAATAATCTCAACATCTGCACTCGTATAAGCCCAATACATTGGAGCCACTGTGCTATTGATAAAGCTGCCAAAAAAACGAACAAAAATTATAAATTAAAAACAATAAAAAATACAGCCAAAAATAGCAAGGAAAAAGTAAAACATCTTATGTTCAACCAAATTCCTCCGATGGTGACTAGACGTAAAAATTTCAGAATAAATAAAGCAATCAATAAAAAGTTGAAATTATGTATTCGATTCCATTCTCTAAATTGATATTCTTTAGTTTTGGTGTAGTCGCGCAACTTTACAGTACAGTTGCACTGACGCTAAAATTCTTTGTTATTTTGCAGCGCACAACTACATTAATATTTCAACAGAAATTAACTTACATCATGTTTTATTATACACACTCTTCAACAATTAGTTACTAACAAAGAGGTTAGGGAAGGAAAGGCTTAAGTGCCAAGAAACGATCAACATAGCATATTTAACCAAAACGCAATCACGCTAATCAACAAGTTGTACACAATGTATTCGCAATACTCCTAAGTTAAATATTTAGAATTTATTTATATTGCTACCATTATTTTAAGTTAACAAAATATTAGTTATGTGTTTGCAATAAATTAATTTGGATCTTGTAATTAAATTTTTTATTTATTAATAAAAAGATTTGAATAGTTTAATTCAAAGTCCTAAAATATTCGACAAAGTTCTACTAATAACCTAGGATACGAGTTTCACACATTACTTTATATTCTTTATCTTAACGAAAAATTAGTACTAGTAGTTATTTAATAATCATGTCAATAAGGATAAAATAAAAAGACTAAGATAAAATAATTTTCAAAAATGTGCTATCCGTCGTTTTGACATAAATCAAAAGAAAATGGCACAAAAAATGGAACAGCTGTGGATGCTATTTTTTTTGTGTATGAAGAAGAGATACTCAATTTATAGAAGTTTAAATTTTTTTCTCCAAAAAAGGATCTGCTAAATATGGAAGAAATTTATATTTTCCTTTTCGAAAAAGTAAAATTATGGTAAACTATTTTTTTTCTTCATAAAAGTAAAATTCAAATATGAAAAGAAAATCAAGATAAAATCTTAACAAATGCAACAAGTTTGTCTCCTAACTTCTTCTACATGTATTTCGAATAGTAATAAAATCTACCACCCAGTGTTCCAAATTGGATAGGTGGGCTAGATATGATAAGTTTGGAGGCAAATTTAGAAATTATTTAATGATATTGATTTCTTTCATTTTTATAATTCTAAACTATGAAAACTTCCCCAATTGTCTTCAGGTTATTGGATATACAGATGTTTTTTTTTCTAAAAAAATCATAAATGAAACCAAGGCATAAATGGTTAAGGATTTAAGGGTATGGTTCAGAAAGTAAAACTACAAAAAGGTTAATTTGTCAAAATATTGAAATAAGTGAAACAGATCTCATCCTTTCTCTTGTTTTTTTCTTTCTAGAAATAGATCTCATCCTCTAATCCGTATTTTAAGGAATCAGTTAAAATAATATTCATGTATCTTTACAGATAAATTTTTAACAAAACATTATCAATTTGATTTACCATAATGAATTTAAACGTTATAAAAGCTCAATCAAAATTACTTCTTTAAACAATATATTAAAGTCTAGACAAATAAATCGCTATAAAATCATTGGGTAACAAATAAGAAATAAAAAATTAATATTTCCTTTAAATAGTTGAAAAAAATGGGATTATGTTCCACTTGTAGCCTTTAAATTACAGTCAATCCATATTTTTTGTCCGCATTGTACGGACAACGTAGTCCTTGTCGTGCATGCACGTAACATTCCTAATATACCAAAAACATTCACCAAAATCTCAACTTCTAATTCTAAAAGGTCTCTAAAACAAACATAAATTTGAAATATTCTTTTAAGATCCCTAATTATCTCTCTCTCTCTCAATTCTCTATCTAATCTTCTTGAAAAAAAACATTCCCACAAACTCATTCTTCCTCATTCTCATCGTACCCTTTTCTTGTTTCATTCATTCAATTCATTGATTTGTTCAAATTCAATCTTGATATGGAATTGAAATCTCTGTTCAAAATCAAGAAAAAGCGCGTAGCGAAGGCGAATAACAACGATCCAACGCCAGTGATTTCTAGGTCATCGTCGATTAATGCACGTGCTAGAATCGAAGAGGAATTAGAACAGGTGTTCAAGAAATTCGACGTGAATGGCGACGGGAAAATCTGCTCGTCGGAGTTAGGGTCGATAATGGCCAGCCTCGGCAACGCCGCGACGGAGGAGGAGCTGCTCAACATGATCCGTGAAGTTGACGCCGACGGCGATGGATTCATCGATTTGCAGGAATTCATTGAGCTTAATACAAAGGATGTCGATTCCGATGAGGTACCCCGATTCATTGATTTGTTTGGCATTTTTTTGTACGTTACAAAAAAAAAAAAAAAAACACATTTTTATAATTTGGAACTATTTGATCTTTATATATTTTTAATTTGTTCTTGTTACGATCTTCACCTGATAAACAGAGTACTGTATTTAATTTTACGTGGCATTCTTAACTTGTTAAGAAAATAAGATACATTCCGAAAACTTTTAACTTTAAAGTCTTATTTTATAATTAACGACATGTTCTTTTTGCCACATAAAACAAGTTTAAGACTAAAAAAATACTAAGAAGCTCTTAGTATAATGCAAAAATCTTTTTTTTATATCTTGAATTCCGTGCATAATCGAACACCACCATATAAAATAAAATAGAGAATTCATATAATTGACTAGTCGCACAACCAGGTTCTATTCCACTCCTTCTAAGTAATGGCGATGTAAAAGGCTTATCATGTAAATAAAAAAAAATTCTTATGTATCTACACTAAGAGCGAGAACTCGAGGCTAGTGGCGGAGCTTTTAATGTATATATATTATTCGTTGATTCTCTTAATTTTCTTTGTGGCTTTATTTTATTATATATTTTGATCCCTTTAGTAAAAATTCTGTCTCCACCCTCGCTCAAGGAGGCGAAAAAGGTGTTATGTTATTTAACATATCTGTCAAAATGTCTTTAAATTTTAAGTACCGGGCATCAACATAACTTCACTAAGAGACAAACAAGAATCCTCTAATTGCAAATATACAACAAAAAAATTCAACTTAATCCCATAAGTGGAGTCTGAAAAGGATAATGTGTATGCAAATCTTACCCCTACTTTATGAAAATAGAGAGGTTGTTTCCGATAATTACAAATATACAAATATACGAAATAGAAAATTAGTCTAAATGAAAAAATATTGTAATAACTCTCACTGTTCTTTGTTTTTAAGGTACTGGAAAACCTTAAGGACGCATTCTCGGTGTTTGACATGGACAAGAACGGTTCCATCTCGGCCGAGGAGCTGCAAACCGTCCTCCGCAGCCTCGGGGAGGATTGCTCGTTGGCGGAATGCCGGAAAATGATTAGCGGCGTGGATTGCGACGGCGATGGAATGATTAACTTCGAGGAGTTTAAGGTTATGATGATTAAAGGTTCTCGCTTTGACGTAACGGATGCCAGGATTATGTAAATTTAGGTTCTTTTCTGAATGTTCTAATTTCATTTCTTTAATTCAAGAAATAGGGTTTCAAACTCTATTTAGAACCCAAAAAAAAGGATGATTTTAGGTGTTTTTTTACCCTTTATTTTTAATATCTTTTGGATAAATCTTTTTATAATTTCAAGTAATGAATTATGATCAAATGGATCAGCGGATTTAGAGGATTCTTAGCATATTAATGAAATTCCATTTTATGAATATTATTGTGTTTGTTGAGAATTGGAAAGGTAATTATTTGTATTTGTATTGTTAGTTAATTCTTAGCATATTGGCATATATGTTAAGATTTCTTAGCATATTCGAATTGGATTTAGAGAATTCTTAGCGTATTGAATTGGAGTTAGAGAATTCCTAGCATATTTGAATTGGATTTAGAGAATTCTTAGCATATTGGAATTGGATTTAGAGAATTCTTAGCGTATCGAATTATTAGCAAATCAGTGAAATTCTTACATGCACTTTTTGTAACTTTTGGTATGTATTTCGACCGTGAGGTTTGCATATGATGATCATGAACAACAACAATCCAGTATAATTTTACGTGTGGGGTCTAGGGAGGGTAGTGTATATGCAGACCTTACCCATACTCTGGAGGATAGAGAAGCTATTTCCGAAAGACCCTCGACACAAGGAGAAGAAAAAGAGGCAATGAAACAGTAACAACAACATACGCCAGAAAGACAATGCCAACAACCTAAGAATCAAAAAATAAATGGAAAAGGCAATATGAATAATCAGAACAACGGAAAGGTATTAGGCAACCAGAGCACATAAAAAATACGAACACAATAAGTACCACTATCAAACTAAAGCAAAACACAAACAACTATCCTAACACCCTCAACGGGGAAGAAAAGCGCTCCACTACTTACTAACCTACGACCTTAATACTCGCCCTCCAAACCTTCCTATCTAAGGTCATGTCCTCGGTGAGCTGGAGTCGCGCAATGTCCTACCTGATCACCTCTCCCCAATATTTCTTATGCTTCCCTTTACCTCTTCTCATACCTGGCAAGACCAACCGCTCGGACCTCCTAGCCGGGGCGTCAAGGCTTCTCCTCCGCATATGCCCGAACCAACTAAGCCGCAGTTCCCGCATTTTGTCATCCATGGGCGCCACCCCCACCTTTGCCCAAATATCTTCATTCCTAATCTTATCCAACCTACGTATGTCCGCACATCCACCTCAACATCATCATTTCTGCTACTTTCATCTTTAGGATATGAGAATTCTTGACTGGCCAACACTCTGCCCAATACAATATGGCCGGTCTAACCACCGCTCTATAAACTTATATTTAAGTTCCGGTGGTACCTTTTTGTCACACAAGACGCCAAATGCTAACCTCCATTTCATCCATCCCGCCCCTATATGGTGTGTGACATCCTCGTCGATCTCCCTGTTCCCTTGGATAATTGACACAAGATACTCAAAACTCCCTTTCTTGGAGATGACTCGTGAATCAAGCCTCACATCACTGTTTGCTTCCTCCGTCACGTTACTAAACTTGCATTCCAAATATTCTGTCTTAGTTCTGCTCAACTTGAAACCTTTAGACTCCAGGGTGTCTCCAAACCTCCAGCCTCTCTCGACACCCCTCGCGTCTCATCAATCAAGACTATATCATCAGCAAATAACATACATCATGACACCTCTCCTTGAATATGATGTGTTAGAGCATCCATCATCAAGGAAATAGGAAAAAGGTGAGCGCAGATCTTGGTGTTACCCCATAACTACCGAAAAATACTCTGAGTCACCTTTCACTATCCTAACCCGAGTCTTAGCTTCATCTATAATAGCCCCATATAAGGATCACAATTAAGAGTTCATTATAAATCTAAATGGTAATATTCGACGAACTGCAATACTTGGTTTTTGTGCCAAAAATAGTTTAAAGAACTAACCATGCTTCTTTATTAAAATTTCGGTTATTACAATTTGTTGTCATTTTCTCTTTGAAGTAAGAAATATAATTTGTTAATGTGCTACAATTTTTACCCTTAAGAAAACAACTGCGCATGTTTTAGTTTCCTTTCCTTATTTTGTTTTATGTTTTGGCTTTCTGCGCTTCAGAATATATTGCCATGTTTCATGAGTCGCGAACCATAGTTAGACTTAGGCATACTACAATTTTTAGTTAGTGAGAGAGCCCAAGTATTTTCGGAATAACTCCCAGAAATCTTTTTTCCTTTGAGAAGATATAGGAGCGAAACAATCAACCTATTGATAATGGAAGATCCAACAGATTCTTCCAATGATCTTTTACCCAACAAGAAAATAATTGTGCTTCATTGAGCTTCTTCTTTTTTTCCAACGTGTTTGCCTTTAAAATCGGATAACAATTAAATTTGTAAGTGATTTTAAGGATACGCGAATTAATTTGATACAAATAATAAATTGAGCTAGATTAAATAAATACAGATATAGCAAATTCAAACCATGCGAGGAGGATGATTCCAACCTTAGTGAAATATTCACCCTCGATCCGAGCTTACAATGGCCTGTACTAATGAACAAGAAAAAGAGCTTTCCATAACAGCGAAAATAGTAGTATATTGCTTTGGAATGTGTGTTACAATGTGTCTAATGAATTATCGGACCCCCCCTTTATATAGTAGGGAAATCCTACTTTAGGTACAATTCTATAAAAGGTAAAACATCTTGTGTTCAGCTGATTGCCGGTTCCTTATCGATATGTGCCGAGATCCACGCCTTGATATCTGGCCGGTCGCAGATATTACGGCCTTTTGTTGGTCGTGCTTGATTGCTTGACAATGTTCTTCGAAGTCTTTCGGGGTTTGGATTGATCCCGGATTCTGACTCGATGAGACCCTTCCCTTGATTCCGGTTCCGGTATCCTATCAGAGACCAGAGTGTACCATGTGCCTGGTTTTACCCGTATACACAACGATTCAAAAATATTGGCATTTTTCATTAGCTCTAATAATTAGTTTTTTCTTAGTTAAATGTTTTATAGCCTTGTCTGCAAATAGAGTGTATTCGGATCATGAATCCCATATTTAAAGAGAAGTTATGAGCATGTGAAACATTCTGTTCTGTATATTTCACAGTTGAGATGGCGCTGTGATTCGAAGTAAATCAAGAAAATTTTATTTATTTTTTAAAAAGAGAAACCAGGAATACTGTAGTAGATTTTATTTTCTTAAAAAAAAAAAATTGTGTAGTGGTTCTGCCAATTTTTAAAATAATGTCGAAGTAGTCCAGAAGCAGGGAAATTTATTTTTAATTTTTAATTTTATAAAAATATAGGGGAGGAGGAGCGAGAACAGGGAAGGGAATTACAAGAGACCAAACAAAGTAAAAATTTATCTAATCAACTAATTGCACTACTAAAATATTCATACTAATTTACAACAACAAAAAGAGATGGTTTTTTGCTACTATTAAATTTCATATTTGGAGTCTATAGTCGTTCAATCATGATTAATTGATTATAATCTATTGATTGATTAAGCAGGAAACCTTTAATCTGTAGAAAAGGAAAGAAATTTAAAAAAGAATAAGGGAAAGATAGTGGAATTTAACTTGGAAAGAACTTCATCCATTAGATTTCTCGAATTCATCCCACTAATTTTCAAATTTGAAAATAACGATTTTTCCATTTGACATATTTCTTATGAATTTGTTGAAATATTTCGTCTCTAGTATTCAAATTTGAAAGGTGATTCCTCTTCTTGTTAAACGACGTCATATTCATTCCTAGCAGTGTAATCATAGGTAAGGCATATTCTCACGTTTATTCTTATTTATATTTAAGTAGCATCTTTCAGAATATCTTACAAGCCAATAATTACAAGAAATATCTATCAGATTTCGTGTGAAAAAACAAATATGTAGGACGCGTGTAATATACAATGAAAACAATTATTTATTTATTTATTTTGATAGTGTTGAAGCTCTAGCTAGTTTGAGGGCACATGGTATGCATCTCCCACCAAAACTCTACTCATCAAAATTTAGATAGATTGAAAATATAGCCTAACTCTTTTTTTATTTTTTTTTGTGGGCTGGAAGTAAAAATAAATATATATAGAAAAAATGAAACAAAGAAAGAAAAGAAAATACCTATAGGATTTTGAATTACCAAATTATATGTTCTATTTCTGCAAAATTGCAGATATGAAACAGAGAGGCAGGATCATTTACATCAAACACAAAAGACAGGAAGGATGAGACTTCTCATCACATCCTACATCTTTAAAAAAAGCCCCAAAAAGAAGTGAAGAAACCCAAAAAGATGTATGTATTTTTTGTTTTCCCCAAACCATCCGGTATCATAATAGAGGGGAAAGTCATTATTTCGAGCCTGATTATCTCTAAGTCCAATGTGAAATTTTCAAGTTGGATTTAGAAGTCTTCTTTCCTTTCTCGCGGTGAAGTAAGACTAAGCTCATGAGCTTTGTATACGGTCAAAATCGGACTTGCCCTTCGAGACTGGAACATGGTAGGCCAAGGTTCAATCTCATGTAGTCGTGTTATATCAAACCATGGTGCAAAGTCAGATCGCCGAGCTCGTGACCCAGAGATCGATCAAGATCGAGATTGGCCAAGACCGAGACCGAGCAAGATAGAAATCGAGTGAGGTCGAGGGGAGCTTACCGAGCCAAATAATGGAAAGCCGAAATATCGGCAATCAGGCGAGGATCACGGCAAAAATCCCGGCACGTATCAAGAAGAGGCTGATTAATTAGCTAATCATGAGATTTCTTACCCCATATAGAATTGTATCAAGAGTAGGATTTTCCTACTATATAAAGGGGGGTCTGATCATTTGTAAAAGACATCATATTCACGCAATACAAAGCAAGATAGTATCATTTCCTAGCTTTTATTACCTTGTTATTCTGTTTTTAAGCCAGTTGAAATATTTTTTGATTCAAGGGTGACTGAATTCGAGGGCGAAGGCTATTCAATTTGTGTATTTGCATGTATTCTTTTATCGTCAATTTTAATACTAATTCATTCTTCTTTACGTGAGCAGATCCAGTACAACGTCTCTTATTCATAGATCTGAGACGAGAGTGCAATTAGAAAAGAATTTACATACTTTAGATTTGTTGAACTCATCTGACCAATTTTCAAAATTTCAAAAGTTGCATTTTAATTGAATATGTGAAAATAACGATTCTCTCATTCAACATACTTTTCACCAACGCATATGTTAATTAGTTTGTCTCTAGTATTCAAAATTGAAAGGTGATCTGTTAAACAATGTCATATTCATAAGATTACTAGAAGTGTATGGCAAGATATTTTTACGTTTATTCTGATTATTTACTAAAAACAGCATGGTTTAGAACTTCTTACAAGCCAACGCCCAACATGAGTTAATTTGCATAAAAGGAAAAAAAAAACATGTGATGAACCAGATATCGTAAAACACTTGAAAAATAAAATGAATATATGCATAAAAAAAAGATAAAGAAAAGAAAGAAACACATATTATATACTGAGCTCCTAATTTTAGAAGTATAGTAAATTAATACTAAAAATATCGAAGAATCCATTTGGATCCGTCTTTTCTAATATACCGCAAAATTTGAAATATGAAACAGAGAGATAAGGGCAATGAAATGATAAAAAAAATTCTACTGGTGACGGGTTTGGCTAAATAAAGAGCCCTTTGGCCATAAATTTTTTATCTTTTTTGAAAAATTTCACTTTTTTTCAGATTAATGTTTGATCAGGAAATTTTTAATTTTCACTTAAAGATAAATTTTAAAATTTAGAAAACTTTTAAAAAATACTTTTTAAATTTTCACTCACAAAAATATAAAAACAAGTCATAAATTATATTTATGTCCAAATAAAACTTTAATTTTCAATAATTTTTTCACTTAAAAAAAAGAGAATCTTTTGAAAACATCCACCCACCACAAGGCCCATAAAATTTTCTCTCTACCCAATTTTTTTTAGCCAAGCTAAATCAAGCCTAGCCAAATCTAAGTTATGCTAGGTTAGGTAATTAGTTTTAAATACGTGAGTATATATTATAAAAAAAAAATTCAAATAGATAGAGAAGAATAATTATTTTAAGTTCAATAAATATTTTGCATAAATTACTCTTTCGGAATTTTATAATTGTTATGTCCAAACGTCCACAAAGTGGACCTTGAGAGGGAGCATTTTGCATAATTCCCTAGCGCAAATTTTAGATTAGCCGCATCAATACACACGACGATTTCACCGGGAAAAAAAAACAGAGACAAGAGACAAAAATATCAAATACAACCACAAGAGATGAGATCGACTACTCAAAACATCGTTTATCTGTATATATACATACTAAAGAGAAAATTAAAAAGATGAAGAAACTAACAAAAGGAAGAACACAACGTATTAGCTTCCAACAGAAATAGGCCTTTGAGCTAATCCCAACGGCGATCTTGATCTTTGTTGCTGTTGTTTTCCTGTAATCTCACGAACAGCTGGTCTCATCTCCGTCTGCTGCAAAGATGGATGCTTGATTTTCTCCATTTCTTGCCTTATTTTTCTTACTTGGCTATGGACTATAACTCCCATATCTCCTTCTTCTTCAACTTTGTTGTTGTTTCCCTTTTTCTGCTCCATCTCTTTTACTTCAAAAAGCTTTAAACAGAAAATCAGAATTTTGGATACTAAAACTCCTAATCTTTCTCTCTTTGTTTCTTCTCTGTTTTTGTTAGTTGGGAAGTTGTAAACGTATGAGGTTATATTTATATCTAGAAAAGGATTGATGAAAAGGACATGGTTAATGGTTTGTTCACTAGTCAGTGTTTTTCCCAGATTTTTATATACTTGTTGTGAGCACGTGATTTTTGTTTCACACGACAATCACTCCAAAAAAGAAATAAAAAAACAAATATNTTGTTTTAAAGATATTATTGCTTCCTTTATTTTTTTATTTAATAATGTGAAAACGAAATACTAGACGGTTGTTGTGTTTTTGAATTATTGCAAAATGGCTCCTTTTGGTGAACCAAATCTATGAAGAGATTTACATCAGGTTTGATTGCCGAAAATGCCCTTGTTTATTTCATTAAAATTGCTAAATTTTCCCACTCGAAAAAGGACAAAGTTTCCTTTTTTTTTGTTTGGTTAACCGGATGCATTGCGTTAAAGGAAAACTACCCGTTAGGACGTAAAAACAGTAGCATTGTTTGTGGAGGTATACTAGTTCCCCCTCAGAATGGCCATGATTGTCAATATTACATTCCAAAATTTATCTTGGGAAAACAATTCCTGCAATGTCTGCTCAAAATACATGTGTGACAAACACCGGAGGAACTGCTGTTATAATAATATTGTCAAAAAAGTCCTTCTTAGAGCTCTCTTTTGCCATTAGATCAACTACTTTGTTGGTCTCCCTGGAGTTGTGCTTCACCACCACGGCGCTTAACCTTTGGACGATTGACCTGCATTCAGAAAGAATTGAGTCAAAAATAAAAAAATTATTGATTAGCATTCTAATTACCTCAGTAGAGTCAGTTTTTATTTTCAGTGGTATTAGCTGCCTTTCTTCTGCAATTTGCAGCCCTCTCAGAAGTGCTGGCAGCTTTGCCTGAGTGTTAGTGGTGTGCTGGATAGATCCCATGTAGCGAGGACCCAATTTCCACTTGCATTTATGAAGACTCCTCCCAATCCTCCCCTTCGAGGATTTCCCATTGCAGCTCCATCAGTATTGAGCTTGTATGTGTTGATTTGTGGGGGTGTCCATTTAACCCAGATATATTTTTTGTTTGTGGGGGCTTTGCTGATCAGTATGGTTACATATTCAGTTGCTTTTGCTAAAGCAACTTTGGTGTTAACCATATCCTTTCTATTGTTGAATAGATTGTTATTTCTTGATAGTCAAATTTGCCAAAAGCAGAAAGGTAGAAGCTCTTCTCAGGTGATGATGCTGTTGAAAGGTTCTTTCTTAAGTGAGGTCCATGTCTTTGGCCAGTCCCTAAGGGTGAAGGATGTGACATGGCTTGGAAGAGTAGTGGCGCTCTTTGAGACAATAGATGCCCATAATAGCTTTGAATTTGGGCAGTCAAAAAAATGTGTGCAGATGTTTCAAGTTCCTGATTGCAAAAGCAGCATGTGGGGTCTAAATGGATCCTAATATGGTGGAGGAAGGTTCCAGTGGGGAGCCTGTCATGGAAGAGTAACCAGAAGAAGGATTGAATCTTTTTTGGGACTTTTAATTTCCAGATCCACAAGTGATTGTTACTCATGTTTTCAGTTTTTTGTTGTTGAAGATTATCCATAAGGGAATATGCTGATTTTGTGGTGTAGGTTCCATTTATGGTGATTCCCCAGATCATCTTGTCTTCCTTAATGGGATTGATTGGGATGAAGGTGTTATGGATGGAGTTTATGATGTTTTGAGGGATGCTTAGGGAGAGAGTGGAGAGATCCCAATTTCCATGATTATGAATTGATGCCACAGTTTTGGCCATGTCTTCTTTGGTCAGTGGTCCTTCGATTATGGACCTGATTGCAGGGAGATTGGGGAGCCACGACTCATTAAAGAAGCTGACTCTATTCCCTGAATGAACTACCCATCTTTTTGCTTTCATGCATGTTTCCCACCCTGTTAGGATGCATTGTCAGGTACCTGACTTAGATTTCTTGGGGGGG